TTTTTTTCAGGTCTGATTTTCACTATTGCTCAAATAGTGCTTTACTGCGAAGGATCGTTCTCATATACGTCTCATAACCGCAGTTCACACATATGTTTCATATGTTTGTTGTTGTTTGATAGCAGAAATTGCTACTGACAATTCCGGCCCAAATGCTGAAGGAGGAATTAGTTAATCATTGAAAGACGCAGCAGGGTTATAGAACACGTGACAGACCACGTGACATACTACACCCCTTGCACTCACTTTGTTCGCGGGGTGCACGTCATTATCTAGTGCATTCTGGGATAACAAGGTTGAGGCCGTGAAAAGTCTGAACACATGACCAAGGAGCAGAGCCGCTTTGACTTCAAATTTCCTCAAATACTGAGATACATTAAAGAGGTTCAGTTGTTATTATTTTTTTTCCTTATAGTCCACAAGGAACGAATAGCAAAAGGTTACCTTGTCGGTGACCCGACCGATTTTAAAATAATTTGCATCAGTTGATTTGACTAAAATAAAAAAAAAGGAAACATTCCCGATACACTAAATTATATCTAATATCCCTCAAGGAAATCCTAGTAAGCTTGTATCCCACTGATAAACATATTTTAGCCATACCTTGTCTAATAGAACAGCATATTAAACCATCTCCAACTTAACCCTTTTAAACCTCTTAGAGTGAAAGTCATTTCATTTCTCCCCACAGTACCCCCCTGAATCAAATATTAAGGTCCCGGCTGTTCAAAGAGCGAATAACGCTATCCAACGGATAAATCGCTATCCAGCGGATAAGAGTTACCAAAACGTACTATGCTATCCACCGGATAGAGATTTGTTCAGTGGATAGCGTTATCCATCCTTCGAACAACAGGGGCTTGGAGAGTATAAGAAAGGATCATGAACTCAAGAAACTCTCGATTGTTAGACAAAATCTCCTTGTAAAAACCATAGAGAACGGTATGGAGAACTTGCATAAGCTGTACGTGTAAAGGATTGAAAAAAACGTTCCATCTACAATTTGATTTAACCGCTGGTACTGTATGAAAAATAAATATTCATTTCAAACAACCCAATTATAAAATAATCTTGAGGTTAAGTCTTTGTTTTCACAAAATGATCACCTCTGTTTGACTGAGCGAAAAAAAATGGATAATAAAATTTAAGGATCAGTACTTGCACTATTTTAAAGCAAAGATCATGATTACAGAAAAAATGTAACTGCTTCTCCTTTGATAAAATCTTACCTAAATGAATGAATAATCTGCAAGAATGCTAGGCCATTCTTCCAACTGGTGTTAAAGTTCTTCACAGCTTCACTACTCCTGTAGAAAAATGATATTTCAAGTTAGATGATACGTACATGTAAGTTTTATCGTTTGTCTGTTTTTTCATTACCTTTTTGATGTTTAGAGTCAGGCTATCAAATGTACTGATACCAGAGTTTCGACTGCTACATCTAATAGTCTTTGTCAGGTGATGAACTGGAATACTCTTTATCATTTATTCTGATTGGTAGTTGTGATTACTTTACTTGCCTTTTCTATCACTGCTTTGATAAACTAATAATCCTCATTGCTCTAAATGACAATGAAAGTAATTGCAAATTAAGTTACCCTGTTGCTTTGTTGATAGCTTTCTGAGACCATTCCAGGAGAGATTTCTTTGTCCTGGACTTCTTCTTGCTTGTATAAAATCCTTCGACCTAGTACACAATGTAATTAGCAACTATTCACCAAAGTGGAGGTAGCTGGTGGTAGATATGTACCAAGCAGCTAAGCAGCAAGCTCAAAATCACTGCTGGCCACTTACACTAAGGCAAATGATTATTTTAGTACAAACTAAAACTTCCAGTACTATAATATATCACAAAATTATCATTTTACCACATTCCTGCAACACTTATCATATTTTTGGGCACAACTTCCTCACAAATTGCTCAGAGGTGAATAGTAAAGGATATTCTGAGTTTTAGTAGCCAATCAGAGTACACCATCAATGATATCGTCTGTTTTAGCATATACTACACATAAAGACCACCTATGGAGTTGTCAAGTACTTTAAAAATCAGCAAATTCACAGAGTGAAAAACTTGCTGTCATATTTTGTCAGTTTTTTGGGATAGAAACAGCAGTAAAAGCAGGCATTGAGATAACTGATTCAAGTAAATAAAACATATTCCAGTGTAAAAACTGAAATCAAACACTTATCAAGCAGAAAAATGTCCTTCACTAAGAAATGGGCCAGTCACAGTGACTGAGATGTAATAATTATTTGTTTGTAAACTTAATTGATAACTCCCCAATGGGGCTTTTTCATAGTTAGCCGGCCAATACAAATGAATGAAAGAACATTATGTTTAAAAATCCCAACTAGCAGGAAGTAGACCAGTTGGCAATGTATACAAACTGCAGCAGAGGAGTTGAACTCCTCTATTATTATTATTATTATTATTATTATTATTATTATTATTATTATTTATTATTATTTAAAGAACAAATCCAGTGAGTAGCAAGGTGGAGGGCTAATGAACCCAACACCCTAAACATGCAGCCAAACAACAACAACAACAAAACAACAACAACCTTTATTTATGTGTCAAATCTAAAATAGCAGTTATACAACCACTAACTGGGGACACTGCCTCCTCATTAAATAGACTAAGTTTCAAAGGAATTCTAAAGACACTGGATGTTATCAACTGAAGGTGGCCACTTTACGATTATTTTTCAAAAGAAATATGATAGCATGAGATGAAAAATACATGAGGTGAGAATTTCTTTGCTTACCTGATAATGGTGAACAATGGCCCAGATCAATAAAAGAACAAAAGTTTGGTTCCCATCAACAACAGATTCTCTCTGGATGTTTACAATTTTCACCTAGCATGGAAAAATTACTCCTAAGTAATCTGTCCATACCTGTTAATGACAATTCCCACCATAAATCACGGATTTGTCTCAAATATATTACAATTATTAGAATAACTTTTCTTTAATCTCTGAAAAAGAATATATGGCGAGAGAGGGATAATTCATACATACAACTTGTGCAAAATGGTCTTAAATTCATATCACTGCAATATTTCACAATCATTGGATCATTGATATGTATCTTAATTTAGACAAGCTCTGTTAGTCAAGACTAATTTGCTCTCAAAAAAGCCAGTTTATACCAGAAAAAAAAAACAAAAAATTGTTAACAAAACAACAATGTAAACCTAGCATCAAAGACAACTGAACATTAAATACTAACTGAACTACTGGACCTCTCAAGAAAATGTTTCTTGATCTTAACTATCAATGTTCCCCTAAAGTACATGCAGCTCCTAAAACTGAAAAGCCTCTTTATAACCATGTTTTTTTTTTTCTTATAATCATGATGCATTTTAATAAAGTTAATTTGACAGCTACATTCAGGTTCAATTCTTCCTATTAATTAATGTAGTACACTTACATTATTAATTAATGTAGTACACTCACATTTTTGGTTGTCAAAAATTTCAAGGCAGCTCCAACATTTGCAAGGTGATGGGGTCTCTTATTTCCTTTTTCTTTGGGCTAAAAAAGCAAACAATTCATTATTAAGCACTTACAACGTATGTTGGAAAGTTGCATAAACATATATGTGTCATGAACTTAAATGCCCTGTCCACAGCCACCAATCGGAATCTCAGTTCTGACCTGGATTAGGAAGTCTTCCTTCATAAGCTGCTGATGTTGCACACCACTTTAATCACGCGAAATAACTAACACAACAAACAGTAACCTTCTCCTCAACTGTCGTTTTCACCGCCTTGTTTTTCTCGTACGATCCTTTTCTTTTTTTTTAATCCCAAAATAATCACCTGGCCTAGTCCCAGTTACTCTCGTCCTGCTTTTCACTGACACTTTTCCCCATAAAAGATTTAAAAGGATTGATTTTGTTTCAAGATCATACCAAATATCCAGCTGATAAACTTGAACTAATGGCAGAAAGTCAGAAACCAATCACTTCTCAAGATAACTGGGTGACCTAATTTACCTCTCAGGATCCACTGATATTATTGAAAATTCTCCCTTCTTTGGCTGCTCTACAATTCCTTCAAAGTGGTGGGGAGAATTTAGCATTGAATCAAGATAACATACCCTCCCCCTCTCAAATCCAAATAAATAAGTTACCTTGTCTTGCCAACTATATGCTTGGCATTTCAGTTTTACAGACTGAGTTGATATTATGTGAATTGGCCATTGTGAAAAGAATACTAAAACTGAGGTTTCAAGTGTTGGCCCTTTGTCAAAGTGATTCAGGGCTAATGCAAGCTAGCAAATATCAGCTTTACAATCTCTTCACATTATCAACTCAGTTGGTAAAACCATGTTATCTTGTAATAAGCTACACCTACACAGCACCACAGTTTCTTTAAAAGCTTACCCCTTTATATGCTAGGTTATAACCTATTTGGTTCATTTCTCTAGACTTACAAGAACAAGATACCTAATACAGTTAAGTCTCACCAAGTGTTCTCCTGACAATACTTCTAACAGGACCAGTAACTTTGTGCCATCTTTAAGCTCCTCAATTAAGTCGTCAATATAGAATGGAGGCTTGTGCTGTTTTAAAAGCAAACAATTTTGATAATGCAATTATAAAACTAGATAAACTGTCAAACAAGTAGTGATGACCAAAAACCACAACTCGTCTGAAACACAGGGATCCAACAATCATTTCTAAGACTTTTGATTATCAATGGGTCTCTCATTGTGTTAAAACTGATTGTACAGGGTAATCAGCTGATTTCTCAAAGACTGTCAACATATAAGTTACTGACAGAAGAAGCACCGTGTTTACTAGTACCAGTAATTATAAAATATGGATCATCAACAAAGACAGACAGAGATAAATAAATTGGCTGAACATCCCACTAACCACACAAAAAACTCACAGATTTATTAAAAAAAAAAAAAGATGTTTAATTAACACTTGTGGCCGCACAGGGACATAGAAAGCATCTGTGACCTTATGAGGTAGTAAACTCACATCAGTTGTGACTTTAAAAATCAATGTTCTACAAAGGGGAATATAAGGATTCATATTTGAAAAATATTCTGCATGCTGATAGGATCAGCTGTGTGAAGATATTTGGAAGTATTTTTTAGTCAAGAACCACAAAAACTACACACAACATGAACAATTACAAACAGACTGAGCAACTGATTGGTTGACTGATCAATCGACATGCTGACAACCACCAGACAGGATACTGGTATGATCGACTAACTGATCACCAACTGACCAAAAAGAAAGACCATCTGTCCATCCGGAAATTCAAAGGCAAGGGGAGAAAGTTGAAAGCAGCTGCATTAGCTTTAAAGGACAGTCAGACATTTATTTGAAGGAGCCAGCAGGCACCATTCCTGACTTCCTAACTAACTTCTTCATTTCAGAATGAGCTGGACAAACTGACACGATTAACAAAGTGATATCTTACCACAATCTAATGAACAAAACAACAATCCTAAAACTGTCTTTGATGGATATCAAATTGACTTCAATCTATTACTGCTTCACAAATTGGAAAGGGACTACCAAATAACCCTTACCTTTTGAAGAAAGTAATTAATCCATCTTGTAAATGTCCTCTTCTGTACCAATAATTGTTCCTCTATAAAAAACGAAAAAGACATTAACAAAGCAAATTTAACATAACCCTATCAGAGTAACCAAGAGTGGCAGCCATGTTGGAATCCATAGTAACCATAAACGTTCTCAAACCGAATGGTCTTCTGCAGCTATTAAAATGAAGTTTTAACACTCCTGTTTACCACGACAAACAAGTTATAAAGACAAAACACACGGCCCATGTCATAACCAACACACGATCTGTGCAGTTCTTCCGAAAGTATGGTATGCGATACGGAAATAAAGTTTCACTATGCATTTCACGTGCTCATCGAGCCTAAAACGGCTTTGGGTACATTCGTGTTTAGGATAATCAGATTAAACAACCAGAAAAATTCCCGATCAAAGATGATTTCTTTCTAAATGTTTCAATTTCCGCGGGATCACTGAGATTAATTAAGCTAATTTTAACTATTTAATCAATAAAATATAAAACAGCGACCGAAATAATTTAAACTAGGCTTAGAACAGCTCAAAATAATCGGTTCGTAGTGGGGCTGTTGTTTCACAGCTCCGTTCTCGAGATCTTTGAACGATTGTGATTGCGGAGAAACTGTACCTGATAAAGAAGCTACTAATTTGTCTGTCGATGCCAAAAGCGATGGCGTCGCTGATCCCAAAGATTTGTCCGGCGAAGGACTGCGAGTGGTCGAGGAAAGTGAGTTTCGATTCCGTGACGCCATAACACCCCACCGTCAGCGTCCACCACTACAAAAGTACGCGCCAAAACTTTCAAACAAAGTTCCCCTCATAGCATCACTTTAATGATCTTAATCAGCAATTTCCATCAATAATACCACCTAGCAAATCACAGTAACAATATTAGCCATGTTTCACAGTGTTTGGTGATTCCACAATTCGTGCTACTGAGAATTGTTGTAAACATTCCACGGGTCACAGTTGGTCGACTAGCAGGGGTCCCCTAAGGCGCGAAAAAGCGGAATGTTTGCGTGTTCCACTGTACCTGATGTTTTTCTTCTCTCTTAGTTCATAAAGGAACTTAGAATTGTCTCATTTGTAAATTGAACATGAAAAGCGGTAGACTAGATTTAACGGGAACTTAAATGACGAAACTGAAATATCATATGTGTAAAAATAGCACAAACTTGGTACTGAACAACTCACACGCGAGAAACAGCGCATGGATTAAAAAAAATTCATTTTGAAATTTATCGTGATTGCAAAGTGTATTCTCCGAAAATAACATCTCCTTTAATTATTCCGATCAAGTATAAACTAAAGGTAGCCATAACAAGTTGTAAACTAAAAGGAATGCAAAGGTCAAATTTTCATTGTTCAGCATAACATTTGTGTCAACAGAAGCCATGTTCTAAAAATATCTGTTAACTCGTTATCACCAACTCTAAAACAAAACAGAATTCCAAATGCCTTTCGGGTCGAGTTTATCATTTCATCGGTACTTGGCTGCCTTCTATTGTGTTCTTTTCTTTTTTTTTTTTTTTTTTTTTACTTCTCTGAGGGCCTGTCATTCATCAAAATAACTGTTTGTGTGATTGTTTTGTTTGAATATTTACTATTGTTTCGTTTGTTTGTAAAACCGTAGTTTATCTAATTCGTCCGCAGCTGATTGGATGTTGCCGATTGCTTTGCAAAACCAGACTTAAACATCCTTTTGTGAACACAACTAAGGGATTGTACGCAAGATGCGGCTTACAAATCAGATAGTCAAACATGAACGCGAATCTATAAGGATGGCTACTTACGAACAATAAGGTTAAGTACAAACAATTTTTTTTTTGTCTCTCATCTCCGAAACATAAAAGTTATCTCACTTTGAAGACTCTACGATTAACCATTCCTGCTAAAATGGAGAGGTTTTTTGTTATTTCTCCTTTGCCAAAATTAGTACGGAAATACATGCAACAAGCCCGAGTTACTGACACGCTTAGTCACTCAGTCGTATCAAGGTACTCACGCCAGCGGAGCCGTCGAAAGCGGGGGCCAATATTGGTGCGTTTTCTCACGTAACCCATGTGTTTGTACACGTACTTTGGTTAAAAAAGAATGCCTTTGGTCTTAATGCACTCGGAGAGAACAATCCCTGTTTTTTTAAGCGGAGAATCAATGAGGATCTCAATGGTGATATGGCTTTTACGGCTAACGGTTAAAATTTTAGCCATTTAAAGGCGAACGGTTAATTAATTTCTTTCAGTTACTGGTAATTAAGGTTCTTTGCGTCAATTTACTTCTCAAATCAGTTCTGAAATGATAGTAATACAAAGCATATATGGCATACTACTTCAGTAACAGAGTTACTCTAAGTGTTGCACAAATATAATGCATCAAACAAACTAAGATTTTGGCATTCCCAAAATGACACATCCTAGGTAGGAAAAGTAGCCTGCGAAGCAAGCCCTGGGGGAAAGGAGGGGAGATTGGGGAAAGCGGAATTTGCGGACGGGAGAGGGAGCTCTCCCCTCCCCTCCGCACATTCCGCTTCCCCCAATCCCCCCTCCTTTCCCCCAGGGCTTGCTTCGCAGGCTATAGGAAAAGTTTTTACAGCTACCTTTTTTACGACGGACGATTAAAAATTTGTCAATGTCTACGCCTCACTGGTAAATGGTTTGCTCCTTGACGGTTAACATTCAACCCCTTTGAGACCATCTTAAAACGATGACAGCACAGGGTTCACAAGTCTATGATACCCTCACTTTACTGCTGTTGCTGTATCTGTTTGAAATATCAAATGTGCAGCGCCCAACATTTCATTGGAAAGGGAAGGGCGCGTCTTGATTCGACAAATTTTGTACCCGATCTCCTGATTTACGGCAGATTATGCCTGTGGCATCTTTCTTATTGGGAATGAATCGTTTCGTTTCCGGATAGGCCAGAGAGAAACAAGAAAGAAGCACTAAAACGCAAATAAAATTGATGTACGTAGATGAAATTGAAAAGCTGGCGTTCGATAACTGGCCCCTTGTCGGGTAATAGATTGATTTACGAACAACACCATAAAAATCTGCGTTTCAAAATTCGGTTTGTTTACACCTTTTCTTTTTTTCTTACATCATATTCTGGTTAAAAATCGACCGATTGTTCTTTTTGCCCGCTGGCTAGACAGAAACAGTTTCCTCAAAAAGTAATAACTTTCCTCAATAATAGCACCTGACTCTGACAGCTTTTACGGGAAGCCGCGGGAAAGAAAATACTGGATTTTTTTCTTTTCTTTTTCATTTAAAAAAATGCTGACAGGGTGTGATTAGCAGTGAACTGGATATGCAGGAATGGGAAGTATTTTTTTTTATTTTTTTATTTCAGGGGTCTTACAATCAGGGGTCTTACAATCAGGGGTCTTACAATCAGGGGTCTTACAATCAGGGGTCTTACAATGAAGGGTCTTACAATCAGGGGTCTTACAATCAGGGGTCTTACAATCAGGTATCTTACGTTTAGGGGTTCATATCAATGTTTCTTACATGAATGGGCTGTGGCCCAGATGCTGATATTGATCACTTACAATTATAGGGAACTTACAATCCGAGGTCTTACAATCAGGGGTCGTACGTTTAGGGGTCTTACGTTCAGGGGTTTCATGCTATCAGTGTGTCTTACAACCGAGCAACTCATGATACATCAATATATTTTGTGCGTTTCTATTGAACACATTTGCCGAAAATATGACACGAGGTAAGACCAGCCAATTCATGTTTAAAAAGTGTCCATGCTGGACTGAGAGAAAATAAATAGAAGGAGAACATGGGCTTACTAGTTTTATAAAACAATAAAACTATTTCTGTTGGCCGTGCGGTCTGATGGTATCACTCTGACATTTTCCTGTAGAGCATTGGAGCTCTTTGTACACCACGAGGCCACCTGGACGCTTTTTGTGCTCTTCTTTTCTAGTCTATGGAAAGGGGGGAGGGGGAATTTTTCTATCCCATGTCCACCATCGACCACCACCACTTAATTGAACATAACGAGCGCCCACTCTTGGTAAATTAGTGCTTGCCTCTTCTAAAAACGAAGTAATCTCTTCGAGCGATCGAGAGAAAAACCTTGATTTGTGCCAAATAACTACAATAGACTGTAGCAGTCTAGAAGGGAGAAATGTAAGCCACAGATTGGGTTGGAAATTGAAGCTGAACAGTTGAAAATTCAGTCGACTAAAATCTTTTGTTCAAGACTCTTACGAAGTTTCGTTCGACGTGACTACCATCTTTACTCTCATAAACACCCTGTCGTTGGCTTCTTTGACCTCTTGTTTCTTGATATATCTCTTGTCGACCCAATCGACGACCTGAGGTGGTAGGCACGTTGTTGTGTGGCCCTGGCCTTATCGAGGTAGGAGGTAATGGTGAGTGTACAGAGGACTGCTGGATTGACGGGAGAGTGCAACCAGTACTCTCCGCTCCCTTTGTGACTTGCCGTTGATGTGGCAAGTGCCTGAGTCTATTTCTGTTGGCCGTGCGGTCTGAGGGTATCACTATGACATTGTCCTGTCGAGCATTGGAGCTCTTTGTACACCACGAGGCCACCTGGACGCTTTTTGTGCTCGTCTTTTCTAGTCTGTGGAAAGGGGGGAGGGGGGGATTTTTCTATCCCATGTCCACCATTGACCACCACCACTTGAACATAGCGAGCGTCCACTCTCGGTAATTTAGTGCTTGCCTCTTCTAAAAACGAAGTAATCTCTTCGAGCGCTCGGGAGAAAAACCTTGATTTGTGCCCATTTGTGTAACCTGCTGAGCCAGATTCTAATGGTTCATAACCACTCGAGCTCGCAGCGGCAGAAACTGAAAGCTACTTTCTTGTTCGTGCCAGCTCTCTTGACGATGCTGTTCTCGTTTGATGCTCTTCAACCTCTGAATGTTTTTTCGGGCCAAACGTCAAAGCATACCTGAGGAATTTTTAAATCTTTTTTGTGGAATTTTGGTCTTAATTATAAACAGACGTTTCGACTGAAACCATAAGTCTTCATCAGTGTAGTTTGTCACGTGGTAGATCACTATCACGTGAAAAACGTTAACGTCGGGGAACGGAGACGAGGGCCCGGTCCCAAGTGTGAGACAGAGAGAACTGGAGCTCCTCCCCCCTTTCTTTCTGTTCAGGGTTGGGTTCTCCACCTTCTCCTATATGGCTTCTTATATCCCCCTCCTACGCCAATCTCGTTCTTTATCAAGGATCTTGACTCTCTTCGAATCCAACACGTATCCCGTGTCCTTCAGGTGACAATAACCTGTTGAATTTTGAGCAGGATTGTAGTTTGGCCGTTGATGTTGTTTTACCCTCCCTGGCTCTGATGGACTGAAGAGTCTCTCCCACATAGGTTTCGGTGCAGCCCTCCCCTCCACAGGTAATACCCATATCCCCCATCGTAGCGAACCTCTGTATGGAGGCCTTCGAACAACAGGCTTTACACACCTACACCGGCACCCCCCCTAGACTGTGGCTCAGTTACGTAGACGACACATTTATAGTGCTACCTTAGAAAGAGATTTGGCGTTTTTTCGAGCATATTAACAGCGCCAAACCCTCCCCCCCCCTCCCGGTTAGCTCAATGGATAGAGCGCTGGACTGTTGTGCGGGAGGTCGAGGGTTCGAGCCCCGGCCGGACCAACACTCAGGGTCTTAAAAATAATTGAGAAGAATTTGCTACCTTTCTATAACATCAAGAAATGGTTAGATATTCTAGTCTTCTCGGATAGGGACGAATAAATGGAGGTCCCGTCTCCTGCAGGGTTGGGGTAGGAGACGTTAATTTCCCACACACGAGATTACTGTGTGATGGATGTCCTCCCCTGGGGTGGGATGGGTGGGATATAGGGCGCACTTAATTTGGAGCCTCGCTCTGTTGTGCGACCCTCACCACACTCTGGTGAAAGTGATTAAATAAATATTTAGCAA